CGAACCTAGGAACACATAAGAAATATAAAAAAATGAATTTATGTCTCTTAGTTCTTATATACAAGTATATTTTTATCCTATGTTTTATTTGTATTTATCTAACTAGAGTATTGTATCCTATGTTATACGAGTATTTGTATATTACGATAATTTAAGTAAGTGATTGTGTGTGCCCCAGCAAAGTTTTTTAACGTAGTTTTTAGTATGAGAAAATATAATAATATAGATTACGAAGAGAATACCATTGTCCATTTCTATTATAATATTATATATATTCAGCTCTTTCTAATGTCCCACTGCTGAACACGGGCCACGAGGGAGATCAGACCATAGTCCACCACGCTGCAAAAGTGCGGGTTGGCGGACTTCACATGTCTTACGACAGCTTGGTAAGTTCTCTCAGACATGCAGGTTTCCTCATGTTGAATGTTATTCGCTCATGAGAATACCGGAGGTGCAAGACACAGGATTTGAACCCACTTTACTTAACGCACAAGCGAGCGCGTTACTAGTGGTCTACCATTACCTTCGACGTATTATCATACTAATATTATAAACGCGAATGTTTGTAAGAATGTAGGGGAATGAGGGGGGAAACCAGATAGGGGGTGAAAACAGATAGTTCCTATTTCATTGCTCCACGTACAGCTGTCTCATATTAGCTATTGGAGAAATACGCGCGAACGCTTACTCAGTGCGGTTGCAAATCGCGGCGACGGTATCATCTCGGCGCGTGCGTCTTTATAACGTAATTTAAAAACAAGGGTAAGTTATCTAATATTTAATTTTTTTCAAAGTGTTATCATTAAACTTAGCTGTGTGCTATTATATATACAGTTGTATTTTTTAAGAAGTAATACATATTTAATCTTTGAAAACGGTATTGGGTGTTGCTATGAGTGTAAACATAACCTGTTAGTTATTACAATTTCAAACATGGTACTTGTGGGGTACAAGCGGACGGGGTGATTCCGACTACCCGGTTTCACCCCGATCGATTTTATATGTAGGTATTGTGGGTGTTTGTTTTATTCCTCTTTTTAATTACTATTTATTTTTTACAGAGTGTGAGCGACAACATGCCACGAAAATATGTGAAAAAGTCAGATAAGTTGCAATGGTCGGAGTCAGACATGCTTTTAGCCCTAAATTCGGTGATAGAAAGTAGAATGGGATATCTTTTAACGTTACATAAAGTGTACCCAAAAGTTCAAAAGGCTTTAATAGAGCTGTAGTGTCACCATTTTTTAATGTTTTAGATATGGACGAGACTGGATTGACCTCTGTACCACAATACAAACTTAAAAAAACCGACTTCCAGGCACTAAAATGTAAAAAATATTAAACGATGTTTTTCCTTAAGAATAGATACCTAATCAGATATTTTCGAATCGGTAAAAAGACGAATAATAAAACTATCAGGAGGATTCGGAGTCTTTGGTTTGAGGCGAAAAGTACAGTCAAACTAAGTCCACAAATGAATGGTACCAATGCACTGCTTGACTTAAATGGGCTCACGAAGTTGCATCGGTTGTTCTGAGCAAGAATTATTATTTTTTGTATGCAAAAACTGCGAATAATTTGAATATTTAGTTTTATTGTTAGTATCTGTATTTACCCATAGAATATAAAATACCTATCCGGTTTGACCCATAGGTATGGGGTGAATTCGGATTCATAATTTTTAATTAAAATTGTTCTATTTTATAGTTATTAAGATTGATCTCAAGCATTTTCATACCAAAGTTATGCCCAAGGTATACTTAAACATTTATAATATTGATTATCTCAATAAATAACATAGTGATTTATTTATTGTGTCTTCTTCTTAACCATCCGGTGTCCCCCCACCTTCCCCTATATATGGATGTATGTTTGTTACCCTTTCACGCAGAAACTACTAAATCTATTTTGATAAAACTATACAATAATATAGCTCATACATAAGAATAATATATAGATTACTTTTATCCCGGAAAAATGAACGGATATCGTGGGATAGATTTGTTTTTGTTTTTCCAGAGGCGGACCTGAGCGAAGCGAGGGTGAGCCGCTAATACTCAAATATAATATCAATCTAAATATTTATCACACCACTTTGCTAAGCGTAATCATATAATTGTTTACTGGATTTTATTTTTGTTTATTTATATGTAAAACAATAATAGTATTATACTGATTACAATAAAATTATTAGTATGTAGTTGTAATTTTTGTTAGAGAAATGGAAATTATTATTGATTTTATCGTGTAAATGTAGTAAATCTAATTAGTAAGTAGTAATTTTAAAATTGTAAACCGTATCTTCTTTGCAAATTATTGTATACTAGCAGAACCCGCGGCTTCGCTCGCGGTAAAACTACAGAAAAAACTCTAAAATGTGAGGTTTCATACAAACTTGCATCCCCTATTTTACCCCCTTATTGGATGAATGTTGAAAAATGATAAACAGTATTTTTTTAATTTTATTAAAGAGCATTAGTACAAAGTTTCAAGTAATTCTGATCATAAATGTTTTTTTGGATTATATTATAATGTCCCGTGTGAATTACATAATCTTCCGCGGTAAAAAGCCTATGTCACTCTTCAGCCCTCCAACTATCTCCATACAAAAAATCATGCTAATCCGTCACTCTGTGTTGAATTGAAAGAAGGACTAACAAACAAACAAACGAACATACGAACGAACAAACAAACAAACAAACAAACACACACACTTTTACATGTATAATATTAGTATGGATATCATAAAGGTCACATTCTTATCTAGAACTGAAAAACGTAACATTTCTTTTGCAGAATTCTTTAAAAAAATAAAGTTATAACAACAAACGAATACTTTTAAAATCTGTTCGGTTTTTTTTCCGTTTTCAGACTTTTTTGTTTTCTCAAAGGTATTATATAGTTAGTACTGGCGTAGACCGTCTGTAACAACTATATAATAGCTTTTGAGACTTATAAAATCTTAGTCTCCCCTGTGACCATGTTTGCTATAAAGCATTCGAAACGAAAGAAACCAAAAGTCAGTATGGATCCATGAAAATAACCAAAAAGATAGTTCTATATAAACAGTACACCGACTTTAAAATCATTTAAAAATAATTCCTTTAGATAGAGCCTATCCTTTAAAAAATATGAAATTCAATTCACAATTGGTGAGCAAATCACGTAGCAAAAAAATATAAAAGCGGACAAAGCAGCTCATTTGTTTCAAAGTCGGTTAAAATGCTTGAATAATATTATATTTTAGTGCATCTAATAAGAAACTCATATAGAGCCTTTGGAGCGCAATCTCTCAACATATTTTTATCGTAAAAATACATTATTATTAGTCTTGAAAGTGGTCACTGCTCCAGTGATTTTTTTGCAAAGTTAACATTACCATTAAAAGTATTCGACGTAACTCAAGTCACAGATAGATATATTTTATTGTGTACCACAAAAGAAATACAGAAAAGACTAAATAAACAAATAGATGATGCACAGGAGGCGGCCTTATCGCTATAAGTGATCTTTTCCAGGCAACCTTAGGATGTAGAAGTAATCATATGAAATGGTAGGCGGTGTACTTACTACACGTAAATACATATCATAAATACATACATATGTACCTATATATGTGATACATAATACCGTTCGTTTAGGAGTTTCAATAGAGCCATCAACAACGTCTCATTCACCTACATACCTCGTCTTGTACGTTATTTCTTCATAAAAAAATCAGGGCTGCCTCGCACACCAAAGGTTCTATAGCATGAAACTTTAAATTTTATACAATACTCTAACATATGCAATTTGTTGTTAAAATAAAATAAACTATTTATTACAATATTCATTATTTTGACGGCTTAAATAAAATTGTGTATTTCTTTCATAGTATTTTAAATAAAATTGTTTTCGGAATTTTTCGCAGATTAATTTAAATTTTTGATTCCCAATGTTTTAGGTACCTACTGTCTATACAAATATATTATAATGATCTTTAGGACGTCAAAAACCTTAGTCTTTCCCATGAACTTGGTTGCTGTAAAGCATTTGAAACGTCGGGAACCAATAACAAAATAAATCCGCAATAAAACCCGAAAGGATATTATATTATAGTTATATTTCAAATGTCAATTATTTATAATATTTTTTGATCACGTGGAACGAAAAATATCCCATCATATCAAAATCTATTCAATTTAGAGAAGTATGTAATTAGTTTTCATTGAAAATAATATGGAAAAAACTAATTATCTATTAGAACAAATTTACCTAACAGCTTCAGCTATAGTTGATAAATGTAGCCCTAATAGTCTAAAATTGCTGTGACATACGGACTTGATGAAATTATAATGGTTCTCATTTTATACATTTTGTAACCAAAAGAAACCTGAAAATATTTTCAAAAACATCAGAAGTATTACAAAATAATAATTATAATTAGTAAGAAGTGAGAAAAAAAATTGATCAAAGCGGTCGCGGGTTCCAGTCCCGCTGGGGGGATTCATTTGTGTGATGAGCACGAAAGTTTTTACTCCAGTCATGGTTGTTTATATTTATAATATGTATGTATTTATAATATGTATGTAAAAAGAGTACTCATAAGATATAGGTATTTTTTATGTATATATTTTTTTACACAAGTTAGCTCTTAATAAAATTAGGGCGTCACTGAAAACGTATTATGAAGTTCAGCAACAAAGTCAGTCGTGTTTCAGACGTCCGATTGAACGCACGTCTCTTGCCGCCGCAAATTACGAAACTTCCACCGTAATATACAAAATAAATATTAAATTATTACTTTTAAAAGCAAATTTATATATTTCAAACTGCTTTTTCACTAAAATAGTAAGCTCTCGGGCGTGATTTTTAGTTTATTTTAATGAGTGTATTTTAAAATTGTCGCATTGGAGAATAATTTTCATAATAATGAGAAATCGAATTCTGTATGTAGTGGTGTCAAAATAAACTGGACGTTATGTTACTTTTACGTAAAGAGGATTTTAAACATACTGATGCCTTTTTATGATGATATGGTAAGTTTTTATTAATTTAATTGTCATATTATGCAGATTTAATGTTATGAAATAAGATTTTTTTATGTTCGACTATCGAAAAATTTGAGTGTTTTAATTTATGGATTTATATGGAAATTTTTAACACTATAAGATTTAGGAAAATTATAGTAAAAAATTCGATATGTTTAAAATAAAATTAATAAAAAAAATCCGAAAATATAACCAAGTTAGCTATAAAAATATGTAAACATTAAAATTTATATAAAAATTATGTAATTACATGAAAAATATCTCTTACAATCGTCGTATCTAAAAATATTATATTTTTCTTCAACCTTATAGCAAAAACAATTTTCGTTAAAAACCTTTGATTCCATCTGGGTTTTTCCTTTAGCTTTTAGTTCTGTTAGTTTATAATTTTACGTGCTTATAACTTTATAAAATCATAATCAAAACAACAAATATTTTAAAAAGTTGTATTGACATAACAAATTTAATCGTTATATCGATAAATAAGATGTTCTACAATTGTTAAAGAATAGAAATGTCAAAAAATGTATGGGAATGACATTTTATGATCTAAAATATCATTCCCATATATTTTTATGCGACGTAGAATGGGAAAGATGTTAAAGAAATTGATCGTAATACTACTTTTTTTAAATATCAATGCAGGTTCAATAGTTTTGATTAGATATGTCTGTTTCATTCTTAAATGCTTAGAGATAAATATTAAGCTCTTAGCCTCTATCTTGATTACATAATGTGTATACGTTTTCCTCAAAGGAAAACATAAGTGAATTTTATTGAAACAGACTCCTCAAAAGGATTTTTTCATGTATTTATTTATGTTTATTATATAAAAAATCACGTTAATAAATCTAAATAAATGTTGCGTGCCTGTTCAGGACTAACTAATGAACAAATAAGTCAATAAACAATACGAGTATATTGCAATTATATTATTATATAATAGTTTTTGTCTGTGACTATATTTGGGTTTATTTATATACATATACGTATTAGAATTAACCGTTTTATATACAATAATTTGACGAAAAAAAAATTATTAAAAAAAATCTACTTTTAACGATTTTGAAAACTAAAAAAAATTGTGAGCGACTACTAAAAACGTATTTTTTAGTTGATTTTTATGGAGGCTCTTAAAACATGAACGAATCGGATTCGCACACGAAGGTCTCCGTACCATATCGTTTTTCTTTAATTTGTATGACAGCCTTTTTGAAATTCGCCACCTTGGTTTTTTATTATTAGTTGTTATAGCGGCAATAGAAATACACACTATGAAAATTTCAACTCTCTACCTATTACAATTCATAAGATACAGTCCTCTGACGGACGGACGGATGGACAGCTGAGACTTAATAATAGAGTCCCGTTGGCATCATTCGGGTACGGAACCCTAAAAACTAACATTTTATACGAGACACGAAAAAAAATTGTTGGTTTTTTTGCGCCACCCTGATACATATTATATAGTAATATATGTAATAATGAAAAACATTGTTACTTGTTCAATAGCAATTTTGAATTAGGAATATAAAATCTACGAAAAAAGAACTACTATTAAATAAAACTATCTTTTCGGATTATTTCGCGGATTTCCCATTTTGTTGATTGTGGGTAGGCTGTCTGTAACAACTATATCTTTAAGACATGTAACACCTCAGTCTCTCCCGTGACCATGGATGCTGTAAAGCATTCGAAACGTCGGGAACCAAAAATCAAAATAAATCCGCGAAATAATCCGAAAAGATAGTTTTTTTTAATAATGTCAAACATTCGCGTAAATCTAAGAAAGTATTATAAGAACTACTATTTTTAATTTATCTCAATACAGAGTTACAACATTGTTTCTTGCAGGTTTCGATATTTTCTTTGCGTTTGCCGTTTCATAATTCTCCCCAAAACCTAATATTTACAAGCGACGCAGGTGGTGCAAGTATAATTTTTAATTTATTTTTTAATATAGCGGGTTCGATTAACGTTTAAAATTGACTTTTAGGGTACCCTTACGATACAGTTTTGATTTTATTTAAAAAGTATGTACATATTTGATGTATTTCTATATCCTGACGTTTCAAATTTGGCTTAGAATTATGATTTAAAATATGGTAGAGATGATTTTCGTGGGTACTAGACAGATTCATACGTAAGGCACGGACGTGACTTTGCACAGACAGGTTAGTTTCTGCTGAAAATCTCGGTTTCAATTTTGATATTCATGAATAGTTTTACGCTCCCTTAAGACTGACGTTTTGCTTAAGAGAATATAGTAAAATTTTTATGTCATGCGGACCTTGTTATTTACTTATATATTAGTTAGTTTCTATATGTTTTATAGTAGGTATCTATATGTTTTAGTTCCAAGCCACTAAATAAATTTTAATCTCCATTAAAAATATATATCTTTGGAACAAGTAAAAGTTTGACGACACGCTTGGCTCAGTTTGTAGTGACCCTACTTGCTGTGCCAGCGGTCGCGAGTTCGAGCCCCGCTGGGGGCATTCATTTGTGTGATGGGCACGAATGTTTCTACTCCAGCCATGTGTGTTTATATTTATAATATGTATGTTTTTAAAGTTATATATGTGTAGTGTATCAACTGCTTGTTATCCATAACACAAGCCTCGTAGCTAACCATGGAACCAGATGATCTACAATGGAATTGGATGGATTACATGAACTGATAAACTATAAACTATGCGAGCAGAGGCGCAGGATAATGCTAGTCATATATTCAATGACACAATGTATTTATTAATTGGATTATCAACGCTCAGTCAAAATTGCTCGAAATATAAATTTGAAATTTGGGAATGTTGGTTTTAAATTGCAGGCATCATTTAAACAAGGATTACTCCAAATTTAACCCCTAAAGAAATAAAAGGGATTGGCTAAGTTAATAAAGGAATTATTATAAGCTCGATGTGTATACTTAATAAAAAATCACTAACAGATTACGAGCCTAAGCCACGGAGTATTATGAAATTTTACACAAGAGTTTCTTATGTACAGAAAGTTAACTAAGGGCGGCTTATTAGAAATTTATAAACCACTAGCGGCTCACCCATGCTCCGTTCGGGTTCGTCCCTACTTAGGTTTTATCGTTTAGTATAGATTTCTTAGAGATTATATATTTTCCCCCAATAAAAATTCTATATGTTGACCCGGATAACCAGCTATCATAATACCAAATTTCATTGAAATCCCCTCTGTGGTTTTTCGGTGATGCGGTCACAGACGGACAGGCAGACAATAATTCTAACAACTATAGATTCGATAATAATGACTATTTCAATAAGACTTTCAGAAAAATATTTAATGAACAGATTCGACTCAGATTTTTTTTATATTTATAGACTACATGTTAGTTGGGGTTTACCCCTATTTAACTTACTATTTATAGTCAGTAGGTTAAATAGCTGATGAAAGTGAAGTAAAGTTGGTATTTTTTAAGTAAGAAATATTGAAATTGTTGTTTAAGCTTTTGTTTATTTTGTCGACTAGCCGACTACACTTTGTCGTGTTCATATTTCAATTAAATGGTTTTTCGATATTTAAGTACAAAACTCCTGTCGAAAACACTTTTACCAATTTCTCAATTATTCTAAAAATCATTTATATTTCCACACAAATCTTAGTACGAGTGTTATGTACATTTAAAGAAATAGCCAAATCAGTCCGACTGTACTCCAGTGATGTGCTTTAGCTATAAAATAGATAGATAGGGAATAAACTATCAAATAATTTTTTGTACTTTTTATGTACATACACATCAATATAAATCTATTTGTTACAAATTACTTACATTGACTCCACCAAACCGTACCTACTAATATCATACTACCCACATACTACACTACTACTACAGCATCCATGGTCACGGGATGCTGTAAAGCGTTCGAAACGTCGGGAAACAAAAATGCAAATAAATCCGCGACAAAATCCGAAAAGATAGTTTTATTTAAAATGTCAAATATTCGCGTAAATCTAAGAAAGTATTATGTAAATTAAAGTATGTTTAACTCACATATCTAACCTAAGTCTGTTTGTTTGTCCGGACTAATCTTAAGAACGGTATTTATTTATACATATAATAAAATTCTAACTGGTTCGAATCTATACATAATTTTTTTTTGAAAATTTTATTGAAATAGTAATTAATTATTATTATCGACACAGAGGCCGAATATATAGTTTTTCGAATTTTTATCTGTCTGTCTGTCTGTCTGTCTGGGAACGCATCGTGAGAAAACCAAGGGACGGATTTTGATGTTTGGTTTGATGATAGCTGATTATCCGGGTCAACTTATAGGATACTTTTTACTGCGGGAAAACATTCTCATCTCTGAGAAATCTATACTAAACATTAAAAATTACCTAGGGACGAACCCGAGTAGGGTGAGGGTGACTCGCTAGTTTATATAATACAATCTTTTATCTTTAACGTCTCATATACCAAAGTATTGCATCACAGTACAGTGACTTTTAATGAATTCGTCTATTGCTCACAGCTACACTAACGATAACGTTGGAAGACAATAAAATTTATACCGTCATATAATACGTATACAATAAACATTTGATGATTCACTAACTTTTACCTGCAACTTTGATCATAATCTTAGAACAATTGCCTGTACAAACAATAAATAAGAATAAACTATTTATTCTTATTATTTCACTCATCCTAGTGATTTTTATTATAATATACTAGTATTTTAAGATATTTTATTTAAGCCAATCGAATTTTGTTAACAAAAATAAATATTTTATTTCAGTATCGGTATGTTAATTAAATCAAAATGTTCTTTATTACACTTTTATAGCTATTCTGAAATGTCGTTTTTTACATTTTAAATAAAAAAAAATCTAAATTATCGCGTTCCATAATTATTGTATATTTTTAATATTTTCAGTTTAAGATTCTTCTTTTATATTGTAACTAGTGGTATTCTATAAAAGCAAAAACAAATCTATCCCACGGGAACCGT